AGCGTTGGGCTACCCCGTTTGGGCGAGCAAAGGTGGTCAAGCACCTCTCTAAGTACTAGGCTGCCTCGTTTGGGCGAGCATAGAGCGTCAGGCACCCCTCCAGGTGCTAGGCTGCCTCATTTGGGCGAACACATAGGATCAGGCACCTACCCAAGTGCTGGACTGCCTCGTTTGGAGAGCACAGAGGATCAGGCACCTTTGGAGCTATTTTGTGCAACTTTGGAGGGCCAGACAGTGTTGGGCTGCCCCATTTGGGCGAGCAAAGGTGGTCAGGCACCTCTCCATGTGCTGGGCTGCCTCGTTTGGGCGAGCACATAAGATCAGGCACCTCTCCAGGTACTGGGCTACCTCGTTTGGGCGAACACATAGAATCAGGCACCTCTCCAGGTGTTGGGCTGTCTCGTTTGGGCGAGCACATAGGATTAGGCACCTCTCCAGGTGCTGGGCTGCCTTGTTTGAGAGAGCATAGAGCGTCAAGCACCTCTACTTGGCTGCCTCGTTTGGGCGTTTTGCGTGAGCCTGGTTGTGATGACAAAAACAATGTTATTCCAAACATTAAAATATCTCACATAATTACGTATAGGGAGAGGTAAGCTGCTTGCGCGAGAGCAAAGACAAAATTGGAGAACTGCTCGTGAGAGAGCTACACCTTTTGAGACCTAACTTTTGGCGACCCATGAGAGGGTCTTTAAGCTTGAAGTATAGGCTGCCTGTTTGAGAACAGCGCAGAGGCCAAGCTTTTGGCGACCCGTGAAAGAGCCGCTCAGCTGAAGATATAGGCTGCCTATTTAAGAACAGTGCAGAGGCCAAACTTTTGGCGACCCGCGAGAGAATCGCTAAGCTGGATATTGAGACTGCCTGTTTAAGAACAGTGTAGAAGCCAATCTTTTGGCGACCCGCGAGAGATTCGCTAAGCTTGATATTGAGACTGCCTGTTTGAGAATAGCACAGAGGCCAAGCTTTTGGCGACCCGTAAGAAAGTCGCTAAGCTAGATATTGAGGTTGTCTGTTTGAGAACAATGCAGAGGCTGGCCAAGCTTTTGGCGACCCGTGAGAGACTCGCTAAGCTGGATACTAAGGCTGCCTGTTTGAGAAAAGTGCAGAAGCAGGTCAAGCTTTTGGAGATCCGCGAGATGATTCATCTCGCCTAGACCTGTTGATTTCCTCAGCATTCATATATTTTTGAACTTTTGCCAATAGTTCGGGTATGCTCTTTAGTGGTCGCTTCATTACTGAAAAAAGGAATCTGGATGAGTAGAGGCCTCCCAAAAAGGTAGTCATGGTGACTTTGTCATTGGGCTCCTTGATTTGGAAGACCTCGTTAATACGAGTGAGATAACTCCTCAGACTCTCGTCTCGATCATGTTTTATGTTGAGCAGATGGGTGGCAGGCTTTTGTTGGCAGCGTCCACCAATGAACTGTGCCACAAATGATCTACTCAATTCGGCGAATGAGCCTATGGAGGCTGGGGCGAGTTTGGCGAACCATTGTCGCGCTGATCCCTTCAAGGTAGTTGGGAATGCCCTACACATAATTTCGTCGGGGACGTTGTGCAGTTGCATTAAGGACTTGTAAGTTTCGAGATAATCAAGTGGATCCTTCATTCTGTCAAAAGTCTCCACGAATGGCATTTTGAACTTTTGAGAGAAGGGATAGTTTGCCACGTCAGGTTTGAAAGGCGTGTCCGTCCACCTTACGAGGTAGTCCACTGTCTCGGGTCCCTGCGCCTTCATGGCATTGAAAACGTCACCCATTTGATTTTGCACTTCCTTAATTTTCTCGTTCCAGTGATTGGGGGCTCCTCTGGAATGTTCATGAAAATGACTCTCATGCTCCATGCTTTGATTTTCGCCCTCATCTTCTTAGAGATGAGGGTCTTCACCATGGGAAGCAGAAGAAAAAGATGGAGGTCCCTCATGAGGGGCTCCTCTGTGTGGGGCGCCCAAGGGGACTCCAAAGGGGGCGCCCAGACCTACATGGGCGCCCAAATGGGGAACAGCAAGTTGTGGAGCTCCTTGATGTCCAGGGAATGCAACTCCTTGATGTTCCAGGCGTGCAGCTCCTCGATGTCTAGGGCGTGCAGCTCCTTGATGTCTAGGGCATGCAGTTTCTTGATGTCCAGGGCGTGGAGCTCCTTCAGGTCCAAGGCGTGGAGCTCCTTGGGGTCCTCCACGCTGTGCTCCTCCTTGTCCAGCGAACATGAGTTGCAATATCTGCTGATTTTGGACTACCAACTGCCGCGTGGTCTCCAGGATTTATTGTGGATTTAGAGCTGGAGCATTTGAGACAGAGTTGATAGGTGGAGGAGTAACCTCCTCCTCTCGTGGAGGATTGTCTTCAGGTTGGTTCATGAATCTAGTAGTGATCGTCATTGGTTCAACAAATGGAATATTTAGGAGTGCGAATTTTGTCGTTTCCCACAGACGGCGCCAAACTGATGATGCACAAAATGGCTTTGCACACCACCTGTTAAGTGTAAATAATAAATGCAGTAAAAGTAAAGAGAGAATTGGAGGAGACAAAATTTATAGTGGTTCGGTCAACGTGACCTACGTCCACTCTTGAATAGCTTTGGTCGTCGGGTACTTTTATTAGCTCAAGGGTTTGAGGAGCAGAGAGTAAAAGCTTTGAGGGAGAAAAGAGAGTCGTGGTCAAGTAAAGTGCGATGCCCCCCAAGTGTTGGTGGGGCGTGTAATTTATAGTAGTCCCCTAACAGATTATGGCTACTTTACAGCAACTAAGACGACTACTCTGGTAGAGCTCACAACTTCTTCTCAACAGGTGAAGAGATTGAGGAGCTATCCTTGAGATGCGGTCAAAGATGAGGTAAGGGTGGACTTTTTCCTCTGCGGTGCAGGTAGGGCTCCCATGCTCTCCCTCTTGATGACGTAGTCAAGCAGAGAGTTTGACTGGTCTTGGACTATGTTGGACTTGGTGGATCTTTCATGAGGTTGGGCTCCTCAATTGAGGTTGAACTTCTCACATAAATTGAGTTATTTGGGCTTGACCCATCAAAAACTGTTTCAGATTTTATTTTTTTTTAAAATTGAAAACCAAAATCGTTTCCAAACGCAACCTAGAACTCCTCAAATTGGGTATCTTTCAAGAGCAAGGGAAAAAAAAAGTGGTTCCCTGTCCTACCACTGTGAAGGCACTAGCCTAAACTTATCATTGAATGTCACTTTGTCAATCCTTAGGTGCTAATGATTTAAGCTCTTTTAATATCAATTGTTGGTTATAGATAATATTGCCAAGCTAATATGCAAGGAAGTAAATCTATTTCACTCACAAGTCACAAGGATCCCACTTCAAATTGAAAAGAGAATTTTCATTCAGCAAAAAGGTATTCGACAAAGCGTTAGAAAAGCCACCCACTGATTTGAATTCTATAGGTATTATTTATGGTATCATCTATAAAATCCTATTCTTGTCTCTCATTTCTAATGGTACTTTTAGCATATAGTTAGGAGGCATGACAATGTAAATATAAAATGGAAAAAGGATAATGGCATAATAAATCATATGATTTGATAAGCAGCCACATTCATTAATATAGTTTTGTAAAGGAAAGATATCACAAAATACTTCAAATCTGATACAGGTTTCAACCAAATGAAAGGGGAAGTCCCTCTGAATTGACCACAAACAAACTTACTAGGCAGCTACTGAGTGATGGCCAGACACTTTTGTCGTTAAACAACAAAACACAGCTGGCCTGATTTAGCTTTCCTTTTTACTATGCCTTTCATATATTTTATCAAACACTTCGAATGCTTAAAATTTTGCTTGATCAAGTAACTGAAGCAAAACTAAACTCGACCAATTAAGCACGACAACTATGGCAAAACTCTGTTGAGTTACCCCCCAAACATGGCATGAAACAACTCACAAAATGAGAATAACTAATTCTGTGTGTGAAAATATATAGAGTGGGTTCCAGAGGTTGATTCACTTCTAAAGAGAGAAGAAAATCAAAAAACCCCGAAAATTCAAGGGAACTACAACAGCTAAGTAAAAAGAATCTCAAATTACCTGAAGATGGGTTGCGAAAGTTGGATTTGAACTAATCTAGGTTTTTCTCTGTCGTCAATGAGGCCTTTTTCTTCACATAAACAAAGAGGAGAGATACAAAGCAGTTCAGAGGGACTGAGGGGAATGGTCGAATGCCAAGGGCGTTAGTGAGAGGAAAGACTGAAGAGAGGACAACAGAGAGGGAACAGGGGAGGGACAGTCGTAGATGCTAACAGAGAGATGATGACAGAGAGAAGAGATAAAAGAGAGATCAAGAGAGGAAGGGTGTGACCACGCTTTTTCAAGATGGATTAGGCTTATTACTGTGTAAGTTGGAATGGGCAATACCAGGTTTTATTTGATAATGTCAACTCCCATGGTTAGTGGAATTAGCTATTCCTTGGTAATGGGAATGAAATCTTATTCCTACCAACCAAACATAAGAATAAACATTCCTAAGTAATGCTTATTCCATTCCCAAAACTTAATACCACATATCAAACGCAGTGTAACATTTTGTTTCAGAAAGGATACATGATTTGAGGCAGCAATCCAACAAGTTCAACAGAATAATTGACACAAAATCGAAGGCATCAAAATCAAGCCCAGAACAACTTTTGAAAAAGGAGGTTACAGGAACCTGACCTTGCTTTTCCAAAATCCATAGTATCCTGGAAGCCGGCTTTGGGTCAAAATATCATTTCAGTTTAATTTTGATTTTGGAGGTTATGAAACACACATAAAATCCTTAAAAATAGTAGAGACAACTCGGCAGGCATTGCTGGTAGTGCTACGCAAGTAATTGAGAAACAGCTTTCGGAGTTTATCATACTACCTTTTATCTCCTTGAAACTTTTCTGTGAGAATTTATAGACACCCTTAAAAACGTTTACCAATAATTACTAAATTTATAATCAATTTGTAATAGGCGTCCCTATCATTTCCGATTCATTTGCCAAAGTCTCTACTCATGCTCATATTTAGGTTCTCATGCGTTTTGAAGTTGTTTTCCTGCCAGATTCCCATGCCTTTGCATATGAGCCAAATTGAGCCAAGCAACTGAAAGTCTATTGAGCTCCCCATTGCGATTAAGTTCAGCTTGTTTATCTCTTCTCAAGCGGATCTCTACCTAAGCTCACCACAAGCCAAGCTGACATAGTGTGGTTTTCTATAAGCAACACGATTAAGCCAAACTCGATAAATTGACAACCTTTTGTAGACCTCGCTTAGTTTCCAAATCCAACCAAACAATGAAAAATAAAATTTTGTAGACCAAAACGGAAAATACACAACTCATGCATTTCTTAAGAAAATGCCAACTGGATTTCTTTCTGGCAACCATAAATATACACACCACACATGTAACACATGTATATACATATATATATTGAGAGCTATAAGATACTAAAACTGATAAAAGGCTCACTATATCAGTTGGTTTATTCTTTTGATACTCATTGCTCTTGGACTCCATAACTTTCTCCAAAGTCTCTTCAGCCCAATCTTCCATCGTTTCTTTTCATTTTTGTAGAAAACAAAGAAATAGAATATAGACACACATTAAACTCACATTCCAACACAACTAATCAGAACTACCATAAAAATGAAGAAGTAAAGATTTTCATACTATCACCTGTATCACGCTTATCGGTATATTTATCCATCTTCTCTCCTTTCCTCTGGACAATCAAATCATGTGAAAACTTGCACTTAAAACCCTTTGCACACTGCCCCACTTTATAAAATTCGCATATTATTGATTTTTGGATCAACACCTGAAAATACAAAAATACCAAATTTATTCAAAAAAAAACATTCACCGACACATCCATATGCCCACTTCTACATAAAAAATAGATCTCTAATAACATGAAAATGGAAAGCATAAAAAAAGAAAAGAAAAAGAAAATAAATGAAGTGGATTGTGGTTATTGTGTGTAGGGCACATCAAAATCAACTGTTTATTATATGGGGATGAAACAACAAAGAAAAAAAACCAAAAATTACCAACTGGGACTTTGGACTGACTGACAGCAACCTTGAACAACTCTTTCAGCTCCTTGTCTTTACCTTTCTCATCCTCTTACTTCTTCTGTACATTTGAAGCAATATCAAATAACCCAATCTATTGATTGAGCAATATACATACAAATACACACACATAAATGCACCAAAACAATCAATAAATGCTTTATAAAATACAGGGTGGAGGGACCTTTTGGGAGACTTTGGATGGGTCAGGATTGGGCTGAACAGATTGTTAGAGGGACTGGACGTATTCTAGACATTTTTGGACTTGTTCTGATTCTTGAGACCAAAANGTGGAGGGACCTTTTGGGAGACTTTGGATGGGTCAGGATTGGGCTGAACAGATTGTTTGAGGGACTGGACGTATTCTAGACATTTTTGGACTTGTTCTGATTCTTGAGACCAAAGATTTTTATTTGATTATCTTTTGCTGCTTCACTAAATTGGCTTTTGATTGATGCTTTGGAGGCATCTCTGTTTTTCATACAATCCAATTACTTCAGTGATCAGCTTGGTTTGTGTTATATAGCAGATGATAACATCTTCGCTCTACCCTCTTCGCCGACACCGGAGAATTTGAGTTCTGTTGTGACTGCAGCCACTTGTTCCTGTGTGTGGAGTGCCAGAGATGGACATCTGTTTAAGCAATTTGGAAGGACTCAGATTGAAGCTTGGATTGTTGTTTTGCAGTTCTGCGAAATGATCAAAGAGAACTACACTCCAGGTGAATAACCCTCCTCAAATTGCTTAACCAAATGTAAAGGAAACTGTTACTTTGTTAGGTTGAGAAATGATGGACCAAAACTCACAGAACTATCCTGCATTTTTTCATTTTACTCAAAGTTGCTTCTTCTACATACACTTAAATATGCATACACCAAAGCAGATAGCATTTAAGCAACTCTGGGATGAGGATGAAAGTAGTTGCCATCCCAAGGACATGTTTAATCTGTAGACAGCCTGCTCACTCTATCTCTCTCTCTCTCTCCCACACACATACACACTAGATTATAACTTTTTCAAGAATCAATAATAATAAGCAACTCCCATTAGGCAATAACTTTTTCAATTTCCTTCCTGGAGTAAGTGCAACAATAGTCCCTCTTAATGCAATAATGTGGGGAATCAGACAATAATCAATCAGTAGCAAATTAAAGGATGTGCGGCAGACAAATTGAAAATGTTTTAGGAAATGAAAACAGAGAATTTACCCGTGCTGTCAAGGCCTTTAAGTTAGGGATGCTTTAACTTTCTGATATCATTGCAATGCATAAATTGAAACATTTATTGTCCTAATGAGGATTAACCATTACATAGAAATTTCAACAACACTAAACAATTTCCCTATCGCCCTCCTCTCAAATGATAACAGGGAATACAAGACTTGCCATTAGAAGAATTTAAGCTCCAACTTCAAAGGCTCAGAGCCAATCCTTCTGCTGCAGCTTCAGTGGCAAATAAACCTCGGACAAATACTGAAACCCAAACGTGCTCAACGCCTGAATTTCCGCCTTCTGCTTGGTCTTCACCATCAAATTCAGCTCCTCAACCCACCCCGGATTCTTCTTCACAAAATCTTCCTCCAACAAATCCTTGCCAGTTTTAATATCCTGCTCAGTCATTGGCAACCTACATTGCTCAGGAATTTTATACTTGTCCAAATCACTCGGCCTAATCCCCAACCACTTTATATCTGGGGTCGTCAAATTCGCACTATCATACGACATATTCTTCGATCCACAACCATACACAGACAAGATCTTTAACCCATATGGATCACTATCCACCAATGCCAACACTGGCAGCTTCAATTCCATCTTCATCTTCCTCAAAAACAACCTCGTTGCCACGTCTGGTTGCCCCTTCGCTGTGACAATTATACAAGGAAACCGATTATAAAACCTATCCTCAGCCAACCTCATATACGCAGCATCCTTTTCCACCAACAATATAAACAATGCATCACTCTGCATATCCCCAACTCTATCAATATTAGGTGGAATCGCCTTTCCTCCCATACCCATTTTTGTACAGTCAATCATATCACCATTATCACTAAAAATAAGCCTACCCACAACCACCCCTTTTTCTGCTGCAACTACATTGAGGCTGGATCGAGTGCAGCCAAGGATGCAGGAGACGTCGTCCAAAACGGCGTCTGATTGGGTTTGGTCTTGGAAGAGCTTAACATCAGTGTAGAAGAGGTCACGCTTGGTGACATGAATGTTTTTGAGGCAGAGTTGGTGGATGAGCTGGATGATTCGGGTGGTAATGGTGGTTTTACGGACGGTGGAGACGTTGGCGTAAGGCCGGAGAGAAGATTTGTCTTTGAGAACTATGCGATCGAGTTCTGGGACGTAGAGTTGGTTGGTGGAAGAGCGAGAGGGGACGGAGAAGGAGAAGCCGTTGCCGGAGAGGATGGAGTGGGTGAGAGAGAGAATGAGGGATTCAATGGCGGATTGAACGGAGGAGAGTGGGAGGTCAGAGACTTCGCGGCAGGTGGTGGAGAGAGAGAGATCCGAGAGGGTCAAGGGTTTGGAATCACTGGTGGAGGGTGTTGATTCAGTGAAAGTTTTGATCGATTGGAGGATCACAGAGTCGGGCTTGAGGCGGTTCTTGAATGGAAGTGAATCTGTGTCGGAGTCGGCATCGGATCTGCGGCGTTTCTTCTTGTCGGCCATTAGAGAGAGAGAGAGAGAGGCGGGAAATGAAAATGGTGGAAAGAGGGGTTTTCTGTTTAATTAGGGCTTTAGGGTCAGGTCAGATGGAAGGTGACTATGGTAATGTGTTNGAAAATGGTGGAAAGAGGGGTTTTCTGTTTAATTAGGGCTTTAGGGTCAGGTCAGATGGAAGGTGACTATGGTAATGTGTTAATACGACATCGTTTGGTTTTGACCAAAATTTGGATGAATGACAGTTTGTACCCTAAAAATGTTCAAAATTTTAATTTATACCCTCAAAAAATTAAAATATCTGCACCACGCTCAATCACTTAAAAAAATATCAAATAATCTCTATCTATAATATGAAACAGGGCAGACTTCAATATGCTCATTCAACGATCTAAAATAAATTCATCCAACAATCACCAATATCTTTCTTAAAATCATTCACATTGATTTATACTACACAATAGTTTTAGGCACAGATTATCCCTAATATTTTTATGTTTGATGATTTTATGTTGGTTATCAACNGGTCTCAAATAAATTCATCCAACAATTACCAATATCTTTCTTAAAATCATTCACATTGATTTATGTTACACAATACTTTTAGGCACAGATTATCCCTAATATTTTCATGTTTGATGATTTTATGTTGGTTATCAACTATTTAAAGAACTTGGTGGTACACAATAATATACTAGCAAAGTCATGAAATAAATATTTAATTTTTCAACAAAATTGAGCATAAACTCTCATATAAGATATTTAAAATTGAATAAAAATAAATAATTTTTGTAAAAAAAATTAAATATATAGTAGAAAAAGTTGTAAACACTTGATTTTGAAAATGTGGACTTAGAAGTTTTATGTTCGAGAGTTTAACGTGGTGGGAACAAAATTTTTGGAGCGGGAATAATTCAATCCTAATTTTATTCACCCCAAATTTTAGGGCAAATTGTAGTAATAGTGCTTCATGTTTGACATTAGTTGAACTTTAGTTTTTAAAATTTTAATTTTGTCAACTTAATCCTTTAAATTTACACATTAGACCAATATGATCCTTAGTACTAACTGCCGTTAGAATTAAAGACGAAAAACCAACATGGGTCATACACATGAAGTTATTAAGGGGTTTTTTTGTCATTGCAAAAGACAAAGGTAATTCTTTTTTTTTTTGTATTTTATATATATATCACATGTTAACTACAATAATTTATCATAAAAATTAAGAAAAATACTAGTTAGACTTAAAATATTAATTTAATTCATTGACTTGATCAATAAATATATAGTGGGTCCCAGTTTTGAATATACAATAAGTCCCAATAAATACTGAAACCCAAAATTAAATTAATGACAATAATTAATCAAGTCAACATTTTAAGTCTAGTATTGCTCAAAAATTAAATCAATTCTCTCTCTCAACCACCATCGCCTTCCCTTCCCACTTCCCATTTCCCATTTCCCATCGTCGAAAACCCACCCAAACCAAACCTACTTGCCGCCAGTCCTCCACCCACCCACCACTGCTACAAGCGCGCCTCCACAAATTTTATACTATCTTCACCAATAACTCATAAAACCAAACCAATTGTTTTTTAATAAGTTAACTCTTTCTCTATCTTGACCCAAAAAAAAAAAAAACTCGCTCTCTCTCTCTATCTCCCTCCCTCTTTCCCTCTCTGAGATGTTATTTTGTGAACATTGTATCAAACCCGTTGACAAGAATTAATCAGTGTTACGGTTGAGGCATGCTAGTTAAATTGAATCCANACTCGCTCTCTCTGTATATCTCCCTCCCTCTTTCCTTCTCTGAGATGTTATTTTGTGAACATTGTATCAAACCCGTTGACAAGAATTAATCAGTGTTACGGTTGAGGCCTGCTAGTTAAATTGAATCCAAACTCAAAATTACACACCCTCTTTACATAGCGGTAGATTTTAAAGTGATACTTATTTGCCTTCAATATAGTTTACGTATAATCAAAATTGTCATAGTAGTNAAACTCGCTCTCTCTCTCTATCTCCCTCCCTCTTTCCCTCTCTGAGATGTTATTTTGTGAACATTGTATCAAACCCGTTGACAAGAATTAATCAGTGTTACGGTTGAGGCATGCTAGTTAAATTGAATCCAAACTCAAAGCTACACACCCTCTTTACATAGCGGTAGATTTTACTGTGATACTTATTTGCCTTCAATATAGTTTACGTATAATCAAAATTGTCATAGTAGTATTATTATAACACCGCATAAGACTCTGTATGGTAATAAGTGTAATCTTTATTTGATCAAAGAGATCAATCAAACCCTAATTCTAAGATCTAGAACAATCATAATTTTCACATGTCAATTATNGTATTATTATAACACCGCATAAGACTCTGTATGGTAATAAGTGTAATCTTTATTTGATCAAAGAGATCAATCAAACCCTAATTCTAAGATCTAGAACAATCATAATTTTCACATGTCAATTATACGAAATTAAAAACATCATAACATCATAAATCAACATACCTGGAGCCATAATCGCAAACCTAGAATTATTTGATCAAGAATTGAATCATCCTTTGGTGTAACTCAAAAATCGTTTTCTCTCTCCTGACATTTATTCTTACGATACACAACTCAATAGGACATGTGTATATTTATAGGTAGAGAGAGGATCGGTTCTCTAGTTTAACATAAATTTCACTTCCTATCTAAGTAGGATATCAGGAAACAACTTATTCTCATTGACCGATCAAAAAATATTAGTTATGTCAATAAGATTAAAATTGGTAACCTTAACATTATCTAACACAAATTAATTATTTAATAATAATCAGTAAAATCACATGTGCTAAATCAAGTGGGCCACATTAATTCTTACATTCTCTCACTTGGCCCATATGATTATCTTACAATTGGGTTTAGCAAGGTTCACATAAACACGCAATAAATTCAATCTATTACTACCTTAATTTGATCATCATAATATCACAATTAAACAACCCACTAATGTGAGTCATGGCGGTCGTATATCATTAACGCGACATAGTCCCTTTCATGTGCTGCAACACTAGCAACCTGTCTAACGTGATCTATAAATTGAGAAGTATATATAATAAGGTCCAAGAATAATGTCTTGTGCCGAAGGTTATTCTTGTTGTCATTCAATCAATTTTATGCATGTACGTACATTGAAAAACAAGCAATATCGTAAACAATTCGAATAAGAATTGAAATTGTCAAATAAATAATCATTATACAAAATTCACAACATTAAGTGAACAACCATCATGAGTTACAATCAAGACTCATTATGTTAACATCTTTAAATGTCTTTAGTAGCACTTTAATGAATTTGTAATCATGAGTTTCATACTATTATGCTCTATAGACACTTAGCAAAAAGTACATATGCAAAATTATCACGATAAGTTCTCAGCGGCTTGGCCATAAAGTTGACAATTCCAAGTCCTGAGATTGGAATTTCGTATCCATAATCCATAAATTGTAGCCTCAAAGCAAGCCACAAATTTAACTTTCATAATTGTCAATCACCACTAAATGATTAGACTTCTTAAATGTGAGCATATAATCATTCATACCTTGTAAATATCTTGTAAGCTCGTAATGATTCATTTAAGGATCGGTTCAGTATTTACTTAATATACTAACTGCAAGAATAATATTTGACATTATACACGTAAATGTATACATAAAACATCATGCAACAGAAACATAAGAAATCCATTATATTATTTGGGCATTATATATTGTTGAACTTATCCCTTTTACTTAAAATTGGAGTAACATTAGCATAATAGTTCTCCACATTAAATCTCTCTAGAATTCTTCTTATATATGCTTTATGAGATAAGTCAAATAATCTGCGTGATCGATCCTGAGATATTTAAATTTCAATCACATAAGTTGTCTTATTATATCTTTCATGTAATATTTATAGAGAGAACCTTGATTTCATGTAATAATCAAAAAATATTATTGACAAATAATACAACAACATCAATATGTAGAGTTAAAAATTTACTCTCACTAACCTTATGATATATATACCAATAATGGTGATTTCCTTAATACTTAAAAAATTAATAATATCATTGAACTTAAAATACCATTGTGGAAAAACTTTTTTTTTTATGTCTATATATTAATCTTTTAAGTTTGCAAACCAAGTGTTAGTTCACTTATAAGAATCCTTTAATTAATCTTTATAGACTTATCTACCTAAACTTTATTAAGAATAATTTTCACATTCATATAGTATAACTNTTTGATTATTTTCTTCAACCTTTCTCTAATTATGTGACCTAGTCATTTATGTCACAACATAAAGACTTTTTTCATTTTTCAGACTATAGTCTGTTCTAAACATTATGATATAAGGTTAGAAGATTAAAAATAGGTCATCAGTCTTTAATTTGTACAAACTATTATGAAGAATACCATAAAGCTAAAAGAAGTATTCTTAAACAAGCTTACACTTTATTATCATATTTGATTAGAAATATGATAATGATCATTAAGAAATTTAGATAAGAAAAACAAACTTCAAAATATCAAGAACATAAATTGTTATACAAATAATGACTGATATATAAAAACAAACAGAAAGTCTCAACCCTCTTAAGTTGGGACTCGATTAACAATGAATATCAATTTATGATTTATCATTCTGGGTTAGGAAAAATCTCTAGCATCAAATTTAAAACATTTGTAGTAGCAATTCAAGTCAATTCATAATGTGCTAGAAGAATATTCTTCTTTAAGGTTTGATTCAAAACATACAAAAGTTTTAATATTTATCTTTCCTTTCGAATCATGCCTTTCGTTTATATCAATCATTTTAAAAAATGTCTCAACTTTTACATAAATGACACATATTATTTATTTCCTTTATGAGCCTAAGTAGCTAAGTAGGCTCTTGGTCTTAGAATAATNCAAAACATACAAAAGTTTTAATATTTATCTTTCCTTTCGAATCATGCCTTTCGTTTATATCAATTATTTTAAAAAATGTCTCAACTTTTACATAAATGACACATATT